ATGAAACTACTGGGTGTAGTTTATACACATGAAACTACTAGGTGTAGTTTATACACATGAAACTACTGGGTATAGTTTATACACATGAAACTACTGGGTGTAGTTTACACATATGAAACTACTGGGTGTAGTTTATACAGATGAAACTACTGGGTATAGTTTATACACATGAAACTACTGGGTGTAGTTTACACACATGAAACTACTGGGTGTAGTTTACACACATGAAACTACTGGGTGTAGTTTACACACATGAAACTACTGGGTGTAGTTTATACACGTGAAACTACTGGGTGTAGTTTACACATATGAAACTACTGGGTGTAGTTTACACACATGAAACTACTGAGTGTAGTTTACACACATGAAACCACTGGGTGTGGTTTATACACGTGCAAATACTGGGTGTAATTCATACATGTAGAAATATTGGGTGTAGTTTATACACTTGAGAATACTGGGTGTAGTTTATACACGTGCAAGTACTGGGTGTAGTTCATATACGTAGAAATATTGGGTGTAGTTTATACACTTGAGAATACTGGGTGTAGTTTATACACATGAAAGCACGGGGTGTAGTATATACACATGAAAATACTGGGTGTAGTTTATATAACGTGAAAGCACTGGGTGTAAGTATTTTTTTATAAAGTACAGTTTTAAACAAACGTTGATGGTAAATCCCAGCTATTTTAAGATGCATTATAGAGTCGGTTGTTTCTTTTTTTAGGGGGGGGGTTACTATCTAAGGAATAAACTCGACAAATCGCTTAGAACTGTTCAAATAAGAATCAGCGTTTTATCTACCATTGCTGAGAAAAACGAAGGTGTTAACCAACGAGTCTTCTTGAACTACACCTTCCTGTGTGTATGTCTCTCTCTTCTCAGTCGGATCAGTTTTCAAGAATTCAGCTTGTTATCAGCAACCCCTTTTATTAAGCTGCAAATTCCCGTTATCTCATAGCTTAGATTAACTTTTTTCATGATAAGTATGTGTCAGGCATAAATAGGTTACACGCTGCTGGAATTTTAAACACGCTAAATTTAATTAAATGCCTTTAAACTGATGGGGAAGCGGTAAGTTTATGGACTTATAACGCTAAAATCCGGGGTTCGATTACCCGCCTAATGTGGCTTTGTTCTAAAACAAAAAATCGATTAAACTGAGTTGACCTGGCCTTGACAACCAGAACTTGACTGCATGTCAGAATGTTCATACTGCACGTTTCGATGACGTCATTTTCTTGTTAGGTGTGTTCCATTCCATTAAATATATATATATATCTGAGAACGACAAAAATATGAAACCGTAAAGAGAAAGAACACTGTCAAGAAATAGTTATACAGGATAGGAGCTAAGGAAATAATCGCAAAGAGACACTGAAGATATTTTTCCGAAGGGCGGAAGAAATTCACTTTCCCACCTACATAGTTTTGATGAAAAATGTGAAGTTGCTTTAAAAATGTTTAAGAATAAGTTTCTCAATAAATAGAATTAAACAAAATTTCTTGAAGAGTAAAATCTTGATCAACCAATAATGAAGTTTCCAACGTCCAGATAATCAATTTCAACTGATGATAGAGTTTTAAATCTGTAGATAATCCACAACTTTAATCAACTCCAACTGATGATAGAGTTTTAAATCTGTAGATAATCCATTAATTTAATCAACATAGATGATCGGGTTTTTAATCTGTAGATAATCCACAACTTTAATCAACTCCAACAAATGATCGAGTTTTTAATCTGTAGATAATCCACCACTTTAATCAATTTCAACTGATGATCGAGTTTTTAATCTGTAGATAATCCACCACTTTAATCAACTCCAACAGACGATCGAGTTTTTAATCTGTAGATAATCCATTAATTTAATCAACATAGATGATCGGGTTTTTAATCTGTAGATAATCCACAACTTCAATCAATTTCAACTGATGATCGAGTTTTTAATCTGCAGATAATCCATTAATTTAAACAACATGGATGATCGGGTTTTTAATCTGTAGATAATCCACCAATTTAATAAATTTCAACTGATGATAGAGTTTTAATCTGTAGATAATCCATTAATTTAATTAACATAGATGATCGGGTTTTTAATCTGTAGATAATCCACTACTTTAATCAACTCCAACAGACGTTCGAGCTTTTAATCTATAGATAATCCATTAATTTAATCAACATAGATGATCGGGTTTTTAATCTGTAGATAATCCACCAATTTAATCAATTTCAACTGATGATCGAGTTTTAAATCTGTAGAT